TCTCCCAACATTCTCCACTCCATCTCCTACTGCACATTCTTCTTCATTGTCTACCCCCTCCCCTCATTACTACTATTCATCCTTATTGTCCTCCTCCCCCAGTATTACCTCACCCCAAACCACCCCATCATCCTCACGCCCTCATCCTTCTACTGCTTCCACCTCTGCAAAGCTATTGAGTACTCTCTTAGGCCCAGGCAAGTGGGATTGATTCTTTGTGATTCCCTAACCACCCCTTATTCTAACAATACCAGTCTCTTCCAACAATATCTCCAAAATAAGTTGGCAAAGTTTCTTTTGGCAGTCATATTGATCATTCATGCCTTGTGAAAGTTATATCTAAGTCCCAAGCTCGTGCACTATCAATCCTGATTGACCTCACTTGTAAACATATTCCTGCCAAATCTCACTTCTCTCTTAATACTTTTACCGGAACTGTTTCCGTCTCTCCGACTGAGTCTTCTATCTACGCCAAAAACTAGTCAGACTGTGAAAGTTACTAAACTTATCTGCCTTGTTAACTATGATGCAGTGGCAGTACAGTGCTACACTATTCCTCCTAGAGGTTCCTCTTAGAGGACAAAATGTCTTACACTAACATTGCCAAGAATAGCTTCCTTAGACATTACCTCCCCATGAAGTTTATGTTGGTGGAGTGTCCTGCCCTGTCTGACCATATTGACCCCTTCCCTGTCAATGTCAGAAATCTTATTCCCAGGATTCTACCGTATTGCCTGTTGATTGTTTTTTGTCCCTTTTGCCAGTTTTCCTTAAATAATGTTCCTCTTCCTTACTCAGCCACAGATACTCTCCATTTCATCATATTGCCCTATGCCCTTAACCTTTCTCTCTTTTACTAATCTCAGCTTTATCTCATTTGCTCCCCAATTTACCCTTTTTGCTACCTTAGTATTATGTAATGTTCTATTACCTTTGACATCTAACACATTTTATCCTAACTGTTAACTCATTTTTATCTTTTTTACCACAATACTTTACCATATTGCTCTATGAGCTTTAATGTCTAGAACATTGATTTGTTTTTAACCGTTAACCATTAAATCTCTGAATATGTAATACCATTAAAACCATACTTTAGATACAAGTGATACATGGTGAATGCAACACATCAGCCACTTATGAAATAAGCTTTGGAGGCAAGACAAGTCTGCCACACATAATCCCAGGAGCAGAGGCCAAGCAAACTCCAAATTCTCCCAGAGGATTGAATGTTAGCGGGATATAATGAAATGTCTTGTATATCTTTTGATATGTGAATGAAATTGAGCCTGTAAAGGTACTATCACGTGAATTTAAATTTTTGTATACTTTATGTAGTATTCAGTCTGTTCTCTTCACATATTGTTCACTTCATATCACAAATTGTGCAGACTTCAGTCTGTACACATATTTGTTAAAAACAGGAATGTTGCTTCATTAGTGTATCTGGGCTGGCCTTAAAATGTTTTTGTCTGATATTTAAACGGCACAGTATCATTTAACAAAGTTCAATAACTCGATTTCCTTACTGTACACAAAAAATAGCAAGATTTTGGTAAATAAAGCTCGGCATGGTTAGAAAGATAGGAGTTATTACTCTTGACCTGAGTCTTATTCCAGTGTTATTATTTTATCTTGATAATTATTTGACTAGTTCTGTATGCTTGGATTTCTTATTATGAGTAATTACTTTTCAATAAAGAATTAATACCTTTTTTGATATTTGTAATATTCACACAAAAGCTCTACATTTGTCTTTTTTGAAAGGGTACAAGTTAAATGGTTGACAAGACATTCTTGTGGACATGTTCTAATCTGACCAAATTTGTAGAAAGTACACAAAGAGCAGGTAGAATGTAGAAAGTACACAAGAAATTGCTCAGTTGTGATAGACCCTTAATATATATCCTACTCCTGTATATTTTCTGATTTGATATTCCTTAGAAGCATACTTCTTCATACAACCGATCACCAAATATATATAACAGAGACTGATTTTATTGTTTATCATCATAAAACATCTCTGTTGGAAGAGTTTGTATTTGTATATATATATATATAATATATATATATATATATATATATATATAATATATATTATATAATACATATATATAATATATAATATATATATATATATATATATTATATATATAATATATACATATATATATATATATATATATATATAATATATATATATATATATATATATATATATATATATATATATATATACATATACATATACATATACATATACATATACATATACATACACATACACATACACATACACATACACATACACATACACATACACATACACATTACATATACATATACATATACATATACATATACATATACATATACATATACATATACATATACATATACATATATATATATATATATATTTTATTTTATTTATTTATTTATTTTTTACAATACACCGTACCATATTTGTATTGAAGAAGCGTAATTGATGATAATAATGAATATGATACAAGTGGTTACAGGCAAATTTATTTTGCCTTGGGTATTGTAATCTTTGTTATCAGATTTTTGGCTTTGACTTCAGGATTAACTGATTAGATTAGAGTTTTATATTTAAGGGTGTATTTAGATACAGAAGGTCTTTAAGTATGTGAGCAGCTGCAGAGGCACTACTTGGCAAGCATATAGGACATAAGACTGTAGCAATCAAACTAACCTGTAATATAGCACACCCAGTTTTTTGTCCGTTAGGTGAAGTTATACTTCAAATATAGATTAGAAATGAATAAAGAAGTAAAAAGAGAGTATTCAATTTGCTTTTATCTATTTATTATTGTTGTTGTTTTTATTATTATGTTCAACCAATTTACTTTTGAAGTCTGCTTACAGACCAGTTGAAGCACCATGGTTGAAAGTGCGGGAACAGCTAGTCGTAATGCTTCTGTCATGAGTCAGCTGGAAGATACGTCCAGGGAGTTGAAAGAGTGTTATGAAAGGTTTGTTACAGTGTTGAGACCAGTTATTGCTTGAGAATTAGTCTCCTTTTTCCATTTTGCCTATTTCAGCCATGTTATATGGTAAACCTTGTTAGGATAGTTAGATTGTATCTAGCATTTACTTTTGGTCACCATGATGTGTCTCATGTAGTGTCATGCTATATATTTGACATCAGGATATCAATCTAAGGGTGCCATCTCAGTGTGGTTAAATGTAAAACCACATTCTAATAAAACAATTTTCCCCGCAGGTTGGATTTCATCGAGACGAAACTCAGACGACGTTACTACCAAATGATGAAAAGAAACGTTTAGAGCAGGAAGTGAAGGACATAAAGACACACCTCTCAAGACATGAGAAAGACCTGCGTTGCCTAAGGGGAGAGAACCGTGTTGCAATGATCCTCTCCGTTTTAATACTGGCTTTGGGTGTTATGATATATATGGTTTACACCATGCTATTTACAAGCTGAAAGTTGCTAATAGGATTTAAGAACTTGATGGGTTTGAGGGTTTTTTTGTTTTTTTTGCATTATCGGTATTTTGTTGCTTGGTGTCTTAGTTACATGTGGGTGTGATTCTGCTTGTTGGGAGTCCCTCTTCTGTTCCAAGAAGAAATGGTACCATAATTATTACATTCAATTTTTATTCCATTTCCTTATTTTTCTCTCTTTTTTTTTTTACGTTTCATTAATTAAATTAATTTGTGGAAAAAAATAATTCTTGGGTGTGTGACGAACATTCCATAGATACTTTCCTGTACAGTACATGTGTCTGCTGTCATATCACTTAATCAGTATGTATAGAGTTTGGTAAGGTTCGTGTGTCAAGTGGTAGCTAAACTTCCTCTGAATATTATTAGATGAACTACTTAATGTTGTAGTGTAGCTCAGCAGTATGCTGTGCAAGTCACCAGATTTATTTTTTTGTTGATTTTTTTAAAAATAGAGCAGTGATAATATCTGATTATACAAAAAATAAAATTGTGAGTCCATGTCTTGTTTGTAGACTGCAAATAATGCAATTTGATTCAAATCTGTCAAATAATCTTTAATGACATTACCAGTTCCACAAACTTTATGAACTTGGCTATAGCAGTATAGCAGGTACAGTACATTCCATTGTCATATAAGTCATGCAATAGAGAAATAGGAAGATTTTATGCATTAGTATATTTCTCTCTGAGGTGCATATTCATTGTTTTCTTTATATCAAATGTATGAGGGTAATGCAAACTCTGGAAGAAAATACATTGAATATTTTATTAAAAGTTAACATCATTTACCCTATAGATATCGACTCTGAAACCATTAACATCAATGAATACTTATGGAAAGGCACTTTCTTCTTTATTATTAATAATTTATTTTTTTTCCTTTTCTTTTTTTATTACACAAGAATATGCATGTATGTACACATTATTCTTTTCAACATGAATAACTATTTAAAGAGATACGTCTAGCAAAGTTCAAAATCAACTAAATGGCTTTGGCAACTACGTGTATGATTTTATTTTATTTTTATACATGTTTCTCCAACACTTTACAATATTTCTGCATACTTCCTATTTTTAATTTGTCCAAAAACAAAGTTCTTTGACAGTGTAAATTATTGGCACCAAAAAAAGTGTAAATTATTGGCACCATAAAAACATTTAAATAATGTAGTTAACCTACCTTAAAATACTAAAATGAATGTTATGCTTTCACTACAGTGATAGTTTCATATTAATTTTGCTTATTTTCCTTACTGTTTCAATCCTCATATCCTTATTTCATGCATTGCATTTTAACATTTTCATCTATATTTTTCTGTTTATGTTGTTTATTTTACTATGTGAGAAGCCTTAGGTTGAATCTAAATACATCCAGTTAAATGACAGTTAAGATCTTCATGAACTTCTGCAAATTAAATACACACTTTATTTTCATTTAAAGTAACAAAACAAAAGTGAACATTACACAAAACACTTCTGTAAATATAATCTTTGGCACCACACAAGGCAGCAAGTCATTACATATCTAAATATCATAATTGTATTAATTCACTCAACAGTCGCACAAACTGCCTAACATCTACAAATTCTGCCAGATTATACAATAACAATTTAAACAAAGTACCTTTTCCCTAACAAATAAACATTTAACATAAATATAAATGTCTTGTGAAGTATCAGTTCAGACACACCTTTGAGATGGAAATGAAAAAAAGAAAAATGTAGTATTATCTATCATGTTCTGCATATGCCTTATACACCATTTACCCTTTTAAAATTAACAAAAAAAAAAAAAAAAAAAATATATATATATATATAATATATATATTTCTAGCTATGATCTTAGCTGTTGATAAAGCAAACTATTTCTGAAGGCCAATCAATATTGAAAGCATAAGCACAATGCTGTGCTGACAAAAAAAAAATGAAGCACTACTGTGACTTACAAAAATGTTGAAATATATTCAATTTAATGTTCAAACTAGTCTCATTTTCATTAAAAAAAAAGTTTTTTTTCCTGTATCAGACAAGTTATTTTATTCTTAAAGAAGTTTGTTGTAATATCAAAGTGCCCTCTTCTTTTTCTTTGATTTCAATACACATGAGCATTATCAAAAAGAAATTTATTATTATTTTTTTTTTTTTTGTCATAAGCTAAAACCAGGAAGCCAGAAAGTTTGTTTTTAGCAAGTGTAGAGAGAAGTACCTCTGGACATAAAAAACAAACTATATATACAATATTTCAAAGGTAACTTTTTGTTGAAAAAAGTATATATACAGACCAACAAAAAAATGAATAACAAGTGTTTATGCAAATATTTTTTCTTCACATAACCCCACTGTAGGACACTTGCAGAATGACTCACAGACACCAGGGTTACTTTACTCTGTCCAATCCTCACAAACCTTTACACTCCTCCCACCGGCCTCCCTGCACTAAATTTTTCCATGCCAAGCTCAATATACTGCAAGCCTCATGAAAATTACACCTTTCATCTGGTTCAACCATACCCACAAAAATCAGTGTTAACTTATGTGGCAATCACATAACCTAGACCTGCCCTGGGTTCACAAAGGGGAAAAGTTGCAAGAACTCAGTACCCGGAGTCAATATTGGTACATATCAATCATAAGAAGACACACCGCTTTTATTTTTTACACCTTAATCCTTTCTTTTTGCCACACTTTTAACTGGTATTTTGTTACCACCAGATGCAAGTGACGTAATCCACTGCATATAATGGAAACCTAAATAACATTAACCCAATATCTCTGGAAAATGTGTTCACTGTAGTATTGTTTTGTGAAATGTCTCTGCACATAGATGTTTCTGCAAGTGCTTAGCCACGAGGAGTCAATTAGATGACCTTTTGATCTCACCAATTTCACATTTCTTTAGTTTGAGGGGGAAAATGTTTACTAATGCTATCAATATCAATGCTGTTATTTTTATCATAGACATTACAGTTATTAAAATATTTAAATTACTAACAGCAATATTACATTCCAGAAAATATTTTCTAAAATCCAGGAAAAGGGTTAACAGGTGAGACACACAGTACTCATAACTGGCTCACTGATGACTTGATACTTGTGGAGCCATCTATGTGTAAAACAATTATTAAATTAAACTCACAGTGGGCATGGCATGTATGTACATGCACCCTGGCGGCTTCAATATCTGCCCGGGGTCAATATCAGGCCCTAAAGAGTAATATCAAGTCCACCAAAGCAGAAATAATAATATGGTACCAAATATTTGCAGCGATAGCACAACCCAATCTAATAAAAAACAGCATTTTGTTTTTCATTCACTGACCTTCACTAAGGGCCATTTTATTCTTTAACATCATGGTTAAGATCACCCATTAAATATTTAATGTATAAAAAAGTAATGCATAAAATGACATGTTTAATCTTAATCATAGTCATCAACTAAAGATATGACAACTGTTTACCTTTTTGATACAAAACCATAAAATTACTCATAAAAGCAATATTATGAGTTGAAGTAAACTAAAAAAGAAGACGAAGAAAAAAAAATTAAACACCTCAAAAATTGATTCTATATTTCATACTTAAATTAATATTGCACAATACACAAATATTATTATTCTGCATTCACTATCTTTGCTATTTCCATGAAAATCTTAATAAATTAATGTATAAATTAACAATCAGATAGCAATTTATGAAACACATTTCTATATAATAATTGCAAAAGTAATATATTTTGCAGTGTGCACATAAATCCTTCACCATGTCTAATGTGAAATACTTAACACATCTAGCATATAAAATTTCATTCATACAGTGCATGTCAGCCTTAGCAAAATGCTTAACCTGTTACACTAAAAAACAACTTTTTGTCAAATGACTAAATGTAAACAAAAGAGAATATGGAAATATATCCGTGTCCAAGTACCTTCACTTGAAAGTTCACAATTATAATGAGTAAAGATGAACTTTTATTCTTTAAACTTTTAATACTGCATAACATAATGAACTGCAAAACTGCAACATAATGAAGTTTTGTATGAGTAATTGGGCCCAAAAATATACAATACATACATACACACATACATACATACATACACACATATATGAATGTATGTATGTATGCATATCTACATCTGTTTATCTATCTATATAGGTAGATAAATAGACAGATATTTAGAAAGATAGATAGACAGAGAGATGTAGATAAGATGTATACACAAATGCAGTTATAATTTTAGCTACAAGGAATTCTCTAAACAATTATCAAGAGCTTCATCACAATAATACTATCTATACAGGGCAAGAAAATTATCACAAAGCAAGCATAAAAGCAAAAGCTGGATAATGAGACAAATAATAACTTTAAAGGTAATAACAAGGAAGTGATAATGGCACAAATAAAAAGACGTTCTACTATTTGATGAATAACCAGACAAGTGAGACAAAGCCTCTACTTTCCATACATTAATTACATGTCTAGAAAATCTGTCAACTTCTTGGAGCAGACTTTCAACCTTTTCAAATCCCTTGATTCCAAATGTATCAACTAATAGATTATAAGCCTCAACACTATTACTGTATTTTTGTTGTCAAATCTTATTCTTGTTTCCAGTATTTAGCCTCATGGCACATGTAACCAGTGCATTGAAGTGAGGTTAGCTGTATGCTCTTCTAACCGACAGTGGGGCTTCATAATATGGGGGGTTGGATATTCATATTGGACAAAATATTGCAGCAATTTCTTATGAATTTCCAATACAATTGGACGGTTATTCTATTCAAGGACCATCATAAAAATAGAGAGCAATTTCAGATTCTAACAAGAATAAAGTGCAATTGAGCTGCCTGTGGACATCCAATCTCATGATTCACGAACTGCCAACACAAAGAGGGGAAACCACTGTTATACTGCTATTTTCTAAGAACAAATGCTACAGATGTCAAGCGTATCTGAGAACAAGGCAATGAAAGGACTAATTTCCTGTACCAAAAAACTATTGACATAAAGATGTATAAGAAAATATTCTTTCTTTTGCATGAAGACAAAGAATTGGGGGAAAAAAAAAAAAAAAAAATTAATCACACACTACCACATCCAATGAACTTTTCTACTCAGGTAATGCAAAAACCATCTGAGATGTACTTACAAAAATAAGGGCCAAGAGTTTGATTCTCCCACCCCTCCCCACCCCACCCATACATCACATGGAGCTACAGGACAATTAATGGCTCTAAAATCATACCAGATGCTGCAGGAATGTATCGCAGAAACACAGTTCTCTGGAGTGCAAAACTACTCGTGATGATTATTCTATCAGATCACCAAGATATACTTCTGCTGTTAATTATCAAAATAATATTAGAAATTCACTGATTAACACTGATGCATATACTCTTGTTGGCTTGCTAAACTTACAGCATAAATTCCGCCAATAATCTATAGAAAAAAAGACATATTAAAAATCCTAATATTTTGACAGCAATTACTAGATGCTTAGGTATTACAATTAAGTCATCACACATTCAAATACCAAAACTCATATTAACAAACAAGCTAATTCTAACATAGTTTCCAACAACCATCAAAACTAAAGAATACAAAAAACTGCATGAAAATTAAAGTTGTGTGTGTGTTTTTTTTTTAATCAGAGGGTGTTACTATATTGTATCAGCTATTAACACTAGGACGGAGCTACTCAAGGTACATTAGTTATTTGGCATGTGTGAGAGTATCAGGCCCTAGACATTTGATACATGAACAATATTACTGTTTATCATCTCTTTGTCTCCCTTTCCTTTCTTTTATGTATCTTCATTCATACATATATCTCACAACAGCTCATGAACTCTAGCTGATTTCTATTGGCTGGGGAACAAGTGCAATGGAATATACATGATAACATTCTTGTAAAACCTCACAATGCATACAATGCCTCATTTAGCACTCACAGGCACTTCACATCAAAGTCAGCGAAGCCCAAGTCCTCAGATAAAATTTTACAAACTAAACCATAACTTCTATTCCTTAATCTGGTTAGCATATTGTCATTCCTATTCCTGCTTTACAGAAAAGTGCTTATCACACTAAAACATTTTCACAGTGTTCTCTGATATCCAACCTTTGTCCATGACACAGTATGCTGTTTCCACAGCACATATTCAGTGCATCTCTTTCTAGTTTAAACACCATCAACAATGATGAGTAAAGACTTTTTCAAGAAAACTAGAGCCTGCTCAGTACAGAGTACCAAACTAAACAGCTAGGCAATTAAATAGAAATTTATATGATTCTGATATTTTCCTCTCTTTTCTTTATTAGCAAGACAAAATTGAAAAGCAACCAGTAAATGATTACTGAGGAATAGAAAAGTAGAAATCGAGCAGGTACAAAAAAGCACATTCGGTTCTTTTCTGTAATAATATTTCTTTCCATCGACAGTCGCTTTTTTGCAGATTCTAATTTTGCGACATCTACGGTTTTCTACATAAAGTGTAAAATTCTTATCAAGGTCCAAAACAAAGTGATTGTAAAAAACACAAATGATTGTAGGTCTATCTTGCCATCCAGATAATCTGCATATGAATCCAAAAATTTCTGCTATGGTTTGTGCACCTGGACCACGGGAGCTTTGTGAAGGAGTCAGGTTTTAGAGGCATGATGGCAACTAACACTGATAGAAAATGTACTGGTTTGATAAGCACTTAACTCAACATTGAGTTCACTACAAATTAATCAATTGATACTGACCCTACAACCACCAAGCCCAGTGAAGTAAAAGTACAAGTTATTAATAGTTTACTGAATAAACATAAAGTCATCTTCATAATCTACTTATTCATTAAATTTTTAAAGGCTGATTTGAAATTGCTATTCCATGAAATTATACTAAATTGTGTGTGTGTTTCACACAAAATGAAAGAAAAAAGAGTAAAGGTACATAATGCAGCTTGCCTTTTTTTTTTTCCTTTCTTTCTCGCTAAAAAGAAAAAAAGGATATGAGCTCCATTATTGCAAATAACAGGATATAACCCGCTCCTCTTATAAAAACAAAAACAAGAAAAACTTTTAGTTTAATATAATTTTGGTCATATATGAATTCAATATGATGATCAGACCTGTAATAACTATTTCATACTGTGTGAAATTTGTTCACATTCATAATCAAATGTATTCCAATAAGTTCCTAATCCTATGAATCATTAATTGTACATTCATATTCAACAACTTACAAAATCGCACACATACAAAAACATGAATAAATAATGCTGCAAATATGTAAGTGGAAACAACTGTAGTGTATCACATTTACAGTGCACTTCACTCGGAATCAAGAGGTTAGCAGGCTTCTTTTACACTAATTTTTCTTCTCCCAACTTTTTCTATAAAAAGTTTTTACCTAGATCTATTTTCATTTAAGATTCACAAATTTCTCATTCCATAAATAACAAGACATTCAATAAATAACAGTAATTAAAGAGGTGAAAAAAATCCTACATTGTAAATACAACTTACCCACAATATACACTGTAGAGTGGTAATCTTGAAAGTTATATGTACTTGTAAACACCCTAACTTTTCTTTCTTTTTGAAAATACAAATACAAAATCAAGTCTGCAGAGGAAAATGGAATAAATGTCCAGCAAAATACCAATGATTAATTCTCCTTGTATGTGTTTCCAAGGCATTGTTATATCTTTCCATAAAATTGTGTGATCATTCTTGATAAAATTTGGAGGAAAAGAAATCCCAAAACATAAACATATATTTATATTTACGAAAACAAAGGAATAATCAAATAAATAAAAGAAATGACAAAGGAAAAGCCAATAACAAATAAAAGTTCCTTTGTTACGGCATCTAAAATAAAGTCCATTTTTCTCTCTTATTGTAGACTTTGCCATAAAAAAAAAAAAAAAAAAAAAAACATACACTGAAAATTAATTTCTGTTGTATGTTAACACTGCATAAAAGAGTCAGTACAAACACAAGAGAAATAAACATTTCACAATAATTTATATAATTCACACCGGGCACAGAACCACCGTCAAAATACTGCACATGCATACATCATTGTCCCATTTCCTATTTTCAGTATCTTAAAATGAAAACCTCCACAAACAAAACATCCTTCCCCATCTCTTTCTAGCGAAGATGAATCATGCAACCAATGAGGGTAATGTTTATGAGAGCTTATGTGACCAACATGATGAAAAAGGGGCCTGAAGAATGCTAGAGAATCTGAGGTTCCGAAAAACACACAACACCGGGCAGGAGAACAGGAGGCTGAGTGGTCCTCTGGAATAGCTGAGAGGGGCAAGTAAGGTAGATTAGAAATAAGAAACTTTTTTCTTACTTTCTTTTGATCTTGCTCTTTGAATCTGTTTATGAATGCTATATTTCTCAGGAGTTATATGTATCCCATTTAGCATAAACTGTACCTTTCCTAAATATATTTATGACAACAAATTTGAACCAAAACAATTTTTTCTTTAAATATGCTAATATGTATCTAAATGTGAAAATTCATCTACACATGAAGGTTCTTACAAATACCATATGTATATACATACTCATATTTGCATAGAAACCCAAAAAAGGTATCTTAGCTTTAAAACAGCTACCATCTTACCTCATCAAGGAAATGAAGCAACACCTGATAATACCCAGGACACTTCCAGGTTTCATTATGCGAGCCCTGTGTGAACTGCATGAGACGCTTGGCCGGTGATGCACAACAGTGGTACAACTCCATCATCATACGTGGAGGTACCAATGAGTCTGCCTGGCCTGAGAGGAATAATGTTGGCACAACCACTCTGCACATCTTGTATTTTGACAGGTACTGTAAGCCAAGTGGACAAGTGAATTCAGTCATTAGATCCTTTGGATATGGTACAGTTGTAGCATCACATGATAATACTTCTATCATTATGAAAATTTCTACTGAAGTCCAAGCTTTTTATTAGAGGTTTCTTTTTACATCACAAATATTCAAATACGATGATGA